ATGAAATGTCAGTATCATTTTCATGGCAGACATTTTGACTTGTCACTGCAGGAAAAACACACCTTTAATAACATAACTTTAATATTTACTCAGTGACCCACTAAACCTTCCTGGCAGCATGCAAGTGTTCTGAAACTGGAACACCTACTGTAAATACAATAATCATTATAATTACTTTATTACATCTGTGCCGTTTCTGCTTTGACATGGAAAAATATTTGCCACAGAAAAGGTCTGAGATTCTAACCCTCGTCTAAGGTTCTGTTGTCTTTCAGCTGGAATTAAATGGGCCGACAATAAAGATATGAACTTCCTAAATGTATTACTGACCAGAGTCTGCACAATCAATTGTGGTAAATTATATCTCGACATCCTTTTTGAGTCTAACAAACACGCTACATTAAATTAATAAGTGTTAATTATTATTACCTTACACTACACCTGCTGAGTGAATGAGATGGTAGTTGATGTTGCCAGGGAAACAGTCCTTACCTGCTGACACTCAGACGTTGTTTACAGAGCACAGACGTATTTTTAAGTATTAATACGGATACATTGCAGATTTTCTCTGTGACTATTAAGGTAAAATCAGGCCCATGCATGTCCTTGTGGAAAGCAATATAAATTACAAAGAGCTTCACAAAGACCCTGTCCACATGACAACACACAATTGTTCAACTTCATATTTATCTTTCCCAGTGTTACCTGTTCGTTCCAAGCACTGTGCTAGTGATCAGTTAGTGAATTAGGTTGTCCTACAATAGATTTTCAGTCTCTGTGTGTCTTTGAATATTTGAAAATCACAACTTGGGATGAGTCTGAGTAGCCGAGAGTCTGATCCAAAGGATGTCATATGGTTGGTTCACTTTTTCAAAGGCACACTGATCTGTTATTTATAACTTTATGACAGCAAATGACTCTGAGCATGCTTACAGTATTCTGTTTTCATAGTCATGAATGCATATATGCACACACACATTCTGGCATCAGCACCAAATTATTCTGAGCTGACTCTGGTGTTGTTTGTATGGCTTTGTGTGTTTCCTGTGTGCTTGAATGGCCTCAAAGGGAATCTGTAAATAACACAGAGCAGTAAACAAAGACTGACAAGAGCCTTTGAGGCCATGCAATCTGATACATTCATTACTAGTCAGTGTTAATTACTATGTGCCTTACAATACAATTCAGCCTTCTTTGTGATACCAGAGTACACAAATGGACAAGTAGCTGCAAAATCAATCAACATGGAGGCCTCTGCTGACATCAAGACCCCTGGGCTGTGCAACTATTTTGGCACTGAGACAAAAGCTTCTCCGGCATCCGATACAAAATAAAGGGCTGCAAAACTATGGGGGAAATTCTTTAGTATCCCATGCCAGGGCAGAGCAAGAAAGATTCATGGTGGATGAATGTTTGAATACCTCATGCAATGTTTACTGCATTCATGGTAAACAATTTTTACTTACTTCTGCTTCTTCACCTCACTCTAATGCTTCTTTTTGCTATTTCCTGGCGACTTGTGTTGTCCGTCTGTGTACAATCAGACAAGCAATTATGGGTTGTTTAAGTGCCATCATTGTCTGTGTTTCTGTCTCTGTCTGGATGTCCATGTGCGTCAAGCACACAACCACTCTCTGAATGGTCATTGATCTCACCTTTTCTCTTCCTCTTTCTCTCAATCTCTCTTTACCTTTAGGAGCCTATTTTTCCATAATTAAAATCACAACGGCTGCTGCCTAATTAAACAAGCACTAATTTCAGGAAGATTAAAGCCATTACAATTAGCCAGAGAACAGAGAACAAGAATGAAATACACTCTTATGCATTCAAATGCCATTTAAAGAAGGAACAAGATTTATGAAATCAATTAGTGTCTGTGTGTGTGTGTGTGTGTGTGTGTGTGATGAGGCCAAGAGAAAAGCAAAGAGAAAAGGGGGATCTCAAGTCAAGGTTGTTGTGTTTTTGTGATATATTGTATACATTTATGTAGGAGGGTGTAGTCAGAGAGACAGTTGAACAGCCTAATGCTGCCAAACATCCCTTCACTCACTTCTTAGACAAATATTTATTCCGTCTTATGTCTTGTGTGTGCAGGTGAAAAGAGAAGCAGAGGACCAGTTGAGACAGACATGAAAAACAAACACATGGTCTAAAACATTCTTCCATTGGCTCAGCACAGCTTAAGACAAATGTCTTGACATTTTCAAGCAATGAAACATGAATCACTCTTCATTTCCACTGAAACACGAAAACAAACTCCACTGGGTAGCATATCTACCAGGGCAATGCATCACTTTGTGTTTGTGTGTTTTCTTGCTGCTCCACCTCAGTAATTCTCCCCCCAAAAAGGTAAAACCAAGCCGCAGCACAACCTCCCCAGTATAACTCAGAAAGTTGCTGATCAACAGTTTTACTCAAGTACACATAAACCTCCACTCCTGAATGTGATCACACTGGAGGTTATTATCTGACAGTGTTTGAATTTGAGGAAATTGCTCATCCTATCACATATTCATTGAACTGTCATGTAAGAGCACAGAATGGAACTGATCAAATTCATGAATGGGTCAAAACTAAAAAAGTTTCACTCTATGATCAGTCATTAACAGCCATAAAAATTAATACCATGTCAAACTAATTGATGTACTGTTTGCATGCTAAACCCATAGTTATGCTAGTTTGGTGACTGTTCACCATGTCAAAGAAAGGCTTGTCCTACATGCACGCCATTCAGTGAAAATAGCAAAAGCCAAAATGTTTAGTTGCAGAGGTTTCCACCATGAAGAGAGCTTTATTTCTGCAGCCTTTAAAGAAAGATTAAAGGCCACCATAAGAATACAATTTGGCAAGCAGTTGTTTTATCTCTCAGCCGCAGAGTGTCTCAAATTAAAAATGAACAATTTGGCAAGAGCTCTATTTTCTTTCCTAACCATGCTATATTAATTCTCAGTTAAAAAAATAACTGGTTTGATATTAAACTTGTAATAACATTATTAAGGTTTACGCTCTCAATATAGAGGCTTAAGGCGCACTTATATTTGCACTGCTACTCTTCCCCTTAAGTAAGCAAGATCAAAAGTACATGCACTATGAAAACACACACACAGTGTTTCTGCAACTGTGTCATTATCAGGGGTGTGCTGTAGAGAGAGAGACAGATTTTTGGTGTTCTTCATGTGCACTTTTGCCAATATACAACATTCCTAATGCATCATCTCAGGCATCCCTGATGATGAGCAAGTCAAAACAAAAGATTTGAAGCCCGAAACATGCTGCGGTATCTGCCAATATCATTAGTATGCTATATGTGTTATGTAAAAACAACATGTTTCGGAAACCTGTTGCAAACCAAATACTTAAACAAGTTGGGTGTTGGCACAATCCCACTGAGAATCATCCAAATTTGGTGGTGATTTTTTCAGAAAAACTGAAGAATTGTATTGATTTATAGGTTAAGAAAATGTCCCTTGTTTTTATACCACATAAACAATGCACAAACCTGTTGGGTTACCTAAACATGAATTGTAACAAAGCTAAAAACAAGGCTTTATTTCTTAGCTCATGAAAAGTTGATGTTTCCGATATATATGGTTTTCGGTTGTTCACCAACACTAGTGCATGGCAATAACATCTCATGTCACTGAATATCAGTATTCAAATATTCCCTCTTAATGTTCTCCAAGTTATATCCAGAGCTAAGATCCAGAAGGCAACATTTAAATTACTTCACCTGAATTACACAAGAGCCCAGCGGACTGATAATGATGGATGATAGATGTATAAAGACAGATTACAGGATAACCCATTAACACTACATTTTCCCCAGCCAGTGTGAAAGCACAAGCTGAGGAGACGAGCAGTAATTTGGGTAATTTTGCTCCACACTTCACCCTTTTCTTTAATGACAATAATTATCTGTAGAAAACATCTGTAGGATGTGTTGTCTCCCCCTCCCTTCCTCTCCTTCTTTGTCTGATCAATGTCTTTTCCTCTCAAGTCTTGCTAAATCACATGTGTCTCCTATTCGTCCTCCTCCTCCTGCCATTTCACTTGTTAACAGTCACACTCTGTCTGTGCTCCTAACTCTCTCGGTTTTATGTCCTCTCCTTTATACTCCACCAAATGCCATTTTCTGTCCAATTCTAAAAAAATCTCAGTGCAAATGAAGTTCATAAACTGTATACCCGAGAATGAGTATACCTGGTCATTGTATTTTAGTCCAAAGCATTTTGTTGCTGCCCTTGGGTCACATTTGAAAAAAAAAAAAAAAAACACACATAATGTACCACTGCTATGCTGATGACGAATTGAATTAGATATGTGCTTGTCAGAAGTCCATCACTGGATGTGCAATAATTTCCTGCATTTGAATGGACACAAGGCCGAAATGTTACTTGTTGGTCCAGCTACATTAGATTTTTTACAGATTCAAATAACCTTGATGGCTGTACAATTTCTCAGACCCATACAGAAAAAAATCCAGGCACATCCAAGTACATCACACAAACTGCCTTCTTTCACCACGGTAAATTAGCCGAAATAACCTACTATTGTACATTTAGGAGGCAATCTGTGTTTATACTTTCAAATCCAGGCTGAACAAATTTTTTTTTTTTTTTCTGTTTACTATGATCCCTCCGATTTTCAATGGCTGGATCCTAAGTCACTGACTGTCCTTGACATGTAGCTACCATAAGCCTGTTAAGGTTATACTATCCCCATTAATGAAATTACCAACCTCGACTTTTTTGTAATATTAACTTATTACCTGTGAATGTGTGTACTTTTACATTTAATATTGTATGTTTTGTTTAATGTTGTTTTTCCCTCTAACTTGTAAAGTGTACAGAGACTGAGTTATGTGCACTTTAAATAGACTAAAGTTGAAGATCTTAAGTCCCCTCTTAGCACAGTATGGACAGTCTGCACAGTATTCCTAAATCACATTTTGAGTCATTTGTACTTTGGCAGTGGGAAAACTAGCCGAAACTCCTACTTACCCCAGTGGTTTCTCCAGTCGACTGGCTGGTGATCCAACAATCTCCCCAAGAGTACAGAACGTCTGACCCAAAAAGTCCTGGAAGGAAGGAAGGAAGGAAAGAAAGAAAGAAAGAAAGAAAGAAAGAAAGAAAGAAAGAAAGAAAGAAAGAAAGAAAGAAAGAAATGCCAGTTCTTGGTGCAACATCTTTGGTTGGAAAAATAGGATAAGTCACTGATTGTGGTGGTGTCACATGAACCCTATTTAATATTAAGCTTGTAGACTACAAAAGGCAATTCTTGATGGCTGATAGCTGTGGAACAGAAATAGTGTTCTCTTTTTGCTTAAAGAGACCATTACTGTGCTGTTATCAACAACGTGACATTATATCCAGTTTTGGTTTGAAATGTAAAGCAAATTTTGTTGAACTAAATTTAAATGATGCCACAATTTAACCATGAAGACTATATATGCATGGTAAGCATGGTTCAATCCAGTGGTTCCCAACAGGTCTAGCCTCAAGGCCTGAATTTTCCCTCAGACATCAGGTGATGGTCCACAAGTACAGTAGACCAACTTGACTCTCATTCAGTTTATTTTCATCAACCCATTCCACCTGTCCTGTGGATTCAAAGCCAGGAGCTTCTTGCTGTGAGGAGATCACTGTGCAGCCCCTTTTTCACAAAATTAAAACTTAATTACAACTGGGGCTTCAGGCTCAATGAAACAAGAGCATTGCGGTAAGAGAGTGCCAAAGAATAAAAGCATTGTGATTACAACTAATTCAGGCTTATTCAGGCTACTAAAATGATATTTACTGCATACAATGGCAGAGAGTGCAGACCACTGCCAAGGCCAGTAGTCAAGTCTTCTATGCAAATCTGTACACCATTCACTTTAAAACAGGTTTGTCCATGTGTGAAAAATACAGTTCATTTTGCCATAGGCACCGAAAAATCATTTGTGTTTTATGAAAACTTTCATGAAAATTGGGCCAGTCGTTTTTCAGCAATGCTGCTGACAGACGAACAAACAAACCCACAAATGGCACAGAAAACATAACCTCCTTGGCGTATGTAACCATAATTTCACCTAAACACAATTCTAACCAGAGGCATGCACTATTCAAAGGGGGAACAAACTTCAACTTTTGTTTGTTTTGTTATTTTTTTGGACAAAGTTGAGCAATTAATCAATAAATAATTGCGACCTACTCAGAACAGACCCCACTTGTGGACCACCCACCCTTTGGGTACCACTGGTTTAATGAATTGTGGAGGATAACACACAAATGGGAGAAGATGGAAGGATTTAAGGCACCATGAACAATGACAAGAAACAACTCAGAAACAGTGTAGGGCATTAATGTAGAGCATTTTTGGAGACTGAGTGACTAGTTTCAGTCATAATCATTTCTTTAACCAATCAAAGTCCTTCAGTATCACACAGCATTGATCGGGTACATTAAACAGGACTGATCAGAAAATGATTGTGTGCGTTCAGTTTCAACAAAACCTATTTTTGAACTTGGATTGCAAGGATGTGGGACAATCCAAACCAAAGACTCCTTAACTTTGGCTTTGGCAGACAGGGCACACTAAATAATTCAACATCGGGTTATCATGTGTTTCATTTCACTGAGTCTCTGGTCTGTTAAGCTCACTGATCACACTCTACTATTTTAAGGAAGAGCTTGAAAAATGTCATCATCTTCATCATGTTACAAAAAATGTTACAAAGACATAATGACTGAATGTTTTTCTTCATATTGTGCAGACTGCACGATAGGTTGGCTCGGCTCTCAGTTTCTTGTTCTGATCAGTGACACCATCCTTCCTTGTGAGAAAAGGATCATTAATGTGAGACAGCAGCCATGCAGTTTTAGAAGTGAGAGAGATGCTGGGACCTACGTTGAGTTCTGCGGGCTTCCAGAAAGGTTGGGCAGCAGCAGCAACAACAACAACAATGACAGTAACAACAACAACAGAGCACATCATATACCAAGACACAACACTATACCAAATACCTAGCACTCCTAGCACTGCTCAAGAGGGCGAAGTGAGAGTGGAAAGACAGCATGCTGTTTCTAAAGTAAAACCTCGAGCACTCAGGTGGAATTAAAGCTAGAGATGAAAAAATGCAAACCCCAGTCATCCAAATACATCAAATAATCAACAAATCTGATTATTTTCAACTATTGTCAATGCTTTCTGTCACCATAGTTTCCAGTTTATGGGGGAAAAAATCAATTCATTTTTTACTAGTGAAACAAATCATGTAATACACTGATTAAAATGGAAACTAATGGATAAAAGCATTGCATAATCAAAGCGTTTCTACATGAGTTTATAGCAAGTTATTGCACAATGCCTACTACTAGAACAAATAAGACTTAGTCACAGACATATAGAGATAGAAATTGCACATTTATAGCACAATTACGGCATGGATAATTCCAGTTAAAGTCTAAAAACAAAGACATTGAATAATGAGTAAAAAAAAACATTTGTATTTGGATACTTCTCTAATCAGGCAATAAAAAGGGTTTGCTTTATTTCACCTAGGATAAACCATGAAGCAGGCCACACCAAAATCAAAAAACACAGAAACAGAAAAACATAAACATTGCCATGGTTAGACCACTGATAAAAAGAGTTAGGCCAATCTCAAATCACTCTGAACACCATATTCCATCAAGCAATATTAACTTTTTCCATTTTCAGAGCCATTCAAGCCCATAATTCAGATTTTACTCAAGACTGGCCTCCATTTATCTGTGGCTCAAGGTTAAAATATATGCACTCACATGTTTGGACAGGTCTGGGCTTTTGGAGTCAACATCGTACCTGAAAGGGAACAAAATGAAAGCAGCAAAGCCATTTTACTTCAAAAACTGTAGAGAAAATGCTTATCCAAGTTAGAACATTTGGACTTATAGGCTTTTAAAGGCAAGATTTAAAATGAATCCTGGTAGGTTTGTCATCACTGGGAGCAAAAATTAATAAACCACACTTATTTCATTTTTAGCTTTTCAGAGGGAAAAGAAAAGAAAATAATACAATATTTTAATTTGCTAAATTTAAAACAACAGTATCTAAAGAGATCAAAAAAGACAAAGGTCATCATGTGTGGAAAATTCAGAATGATAAAAAGAGGAAAGGATCACATCTTGTCAGATGTTACTATATGTGGGACAGAGTAATTGGCCAAGGGTTCAGCGAGACCTATTCTGCTCTTCCATAATAATGAGTGGTGGCCCTGGTCTGATTTGCATGTGAATATAAAGCTATGAAAGTGAGGGAAATGGAGCATATGTGATGTGCCAAGATTAAACATCTGATGAAACGACAGATCTTGTTCGCTTGGAGATTAATCAGGCACAAATAGACGGAAATTAACTAACATTATGAGTAAAAGCACATGAGAACATTTTGCTGATAAGCTGCACACACTATTGTTTGGGTTTCTGTCACTATTAATTGAATGAAACGATTAATCAACTGATCAAAAGTTGCCAAATTGCATCTGATTTTATATATATTTAGCCTATATTAATTTATTAACTGTTTGAATAAAACTGGGACTAGATTTAATGAAAATGAAAATCACCTTTATGTTGTAAAACTTATCATGAGGTCAGTTGACTGTTTGCTAAGCCCCACTGACTCTTTGCCTGGGACATGTAGCTTTAGCCCAGTCTCTTAGAACAATATTCTGTACATAGCCATCAAGTGCATAAGAGCCCTTCATGGAAGTTGTCATTTTTGAAACATGCTGAAGATGGAGTTTTCACCAAACTCATGGTGTTTTAGCATCAGCGTTAGCATTATTAAACTACTAACAGCTGATAAAATATGCTAGCAACAGCAGTCTTTTCAACCAACTTAACCCTGCTTTTATTTACCTCTCTGTAAAACCAAAGAAAACAATTACTGCGCGAGAAGAGAAAGCTTGACAGGCTTGATAGTAACTAAGGGGGGCCCACAATCCCCCCACAAAATAACATAGTTATGACATGTCTCTTGCCTTTCGAAATAACAACTTACTACTGCAGGTAGTTTACTACAGCCCTACTACTGTAGGTAGTAGGGCTGCACAATATGGTCAGTTGCGATTATTATGACAGATCATTTTTGTTTTACAATTTTCATTTTCAGTGGAATACAGTTAAAATCATGATGATGTACCAAAGAAACAAATTTGTGGGTCGGGCATCTCTACAGCACTATACAGTACTTCATTATAATGCTGTTCTGTCACACATTTTGTATTTATCAGAAAATTGCAGCTTCTGCAATTTAAATATTGCACTTGGCCATTTCAATTACCCTAACCCTGGCCTTTGAAACCAGTCTGACATAGTGTCCAAACCATCCAATGAGAGCAATGGTGTTCGGTACATAATGCACACTGGCCTCAGAGGACTTTTTCCCATAAGCTTACACTGTGAAAGATAACCTATAACATTTGGAAAGTCTAGAAGAGCCAGAAGATTAAATCGTCCCCATTCAAGTTAGTGGAGGGTTTAAACTGTCAGTTCACAGCTCGGCCACGCTTGGCCAGCGGAAGTCCTTAGTGTGCATGCTCTATAGGCCCCGCAATGCAGGGTAATGTTATAGAACTTGTTGGTGTCATGCGCCACTGAGCAGTTTTCATGGGAATGAATAGAGCCCCGCCTCCAACGCTGTTCACTTCTTCCTTAAAACATCCATGGTAGTATGCTAGTTAGTTAAGCTAATGCTTATGGAGTTATTTTATTTCTTACACTTTTGCACTTGCACCACAAAACTTGGGGTTTTGTAAAGAATAAAAAAAGAGACAACACCCTTGCTTGACGGGCCCGCTGTGTATAGTAACGGTTGCTAAGCTATGATTGGGCGGTGGCACGGTTTACCGAACCACCAATTTCTTCAGACTGCAAATGCAAGGCTCTCAATCAGCACAGAACAGAAAAATACATCACAGTGAAGTAGGACAGAGGGCAGGAGAGAAGATACCATGATTATACGACTTCAAAGGAAATCACTCACAAGTCAAAGCGAAGGTTCTGCTTCTCCTCAAAAAAGTAGTCCAAGATGTACTTTCGAACAAAGTCAGGGTTTAGGGTGTTGTCTATCACCTCTGTTCTGCCAAACTGGAAAGAGAAAGACAGATGAAGGTCAGGAGGAGAGTAACATGATGAAAGGAAGTGCAAGACAACAAATCACCAAATATTGTTGGTGTCTTCTTGCACTTTGTCGTTGTTTTCGCTACTTTCTCCTCCTTCTCACACTCCCACTTATTACACATGCATACACATACATTTGCAGAGGCCTGATAAATGGAGGTGCTTTCACATGCTGCTGCTGCTGCTGCTGCTGCTGCTGCTGTGCAGAGGAAGCCAGGGGTGTGTTTCCTGCTTCCTTGAGCCTCACTCCTCTCCCACATTAATTACAGCAGGATAACTCACTCATCAACCCCACAGAGAGAAAGAGATAAAGGAAGAGGTGCAGAAAATGTGTAGAGAGAGACAGAGGGAAACAACATAGGGCGGACTTGGAGAGAAAAAGAAAAAGATGTATAAGGCGCAGGGCGAAGAAAAGGGGGCAGAATTAAGAGTGCAGAATTAGAGTGGACAGAAAAGGAAGGGAAGGAGTGGGAGTGGGAAAAGAGTGGGAATGGAGAGGAGGGGAAAGGCAGTGATTAAGGCTTCTTAATTAGTGGGATTCTCACCCCCAAAGTGCCAAATGCAGAGAAATATGCCAGAAAAAAGGCTGGCAGAGACCCAGCAAAGCCACATGCATATACTGTACAAAAAGCTGATTAAAATTTTTAAATGTGAGATACAGTACATACATAAATCATTTAAAGCCTCCTAGAATTATCCTATTTAATCAAATACTCCATCAAAATGAGGTCCAAAGATTTGATTCTTAAGGATTTTTTTAAGTGGCATTAAATATTTGTCTGGCAGAAGCACAATTAGAACACAGTCAGGTAGCAGTTAGTGAATGCCCAGAGGAACATTTGTGATCTATATCATGCCACAGTTTATAGTATCATTGATTAATATTTACTTAAAGTGTCTAGGGTTTAGTGGCATCTAGCGGTTGAAGATTGCAACCATTTGGATACAGCTCAGCCTTCCAAGTCTGCGTGTAGGCTACTGTAGAAACGTAGCGGTTCTACAGGGTTGACTGTCTGCCAGAAAGTTTATACTTTACCTTGGTCGTCCAAATTCCTAAACAAATTTGCAATTACTGAAATTAACTACAACCAACTGACACACCTGGAGCTTTTGGGGTGTAGTTTTCTTTTTTGCCAGGTTGATAATCCATCTTTGATTGTAGCTCACAAAAACATCCTGTCCTGCATGTGTTGAGTGAACTTGTTTAACCTGACATTTAGATTAAAAAGAGCAAACTCTTGATTCCAGCTATTAGTGGCTCTTAATCATAACTGTTTCTCTAGTTACATTTGATTTTGTATCTTTTGAATTAACTGTCTTAAGCAAATTTATTTGAACAAATTCATCATTGTGTTAAGCCTCCATTAATTGTGTTACAACTACTGGAGTGGTGATTCAATTCACGCAGCAATTGGAATAAGAGTATTCCTGCAATGTGTCTCTTGCCCACAGTTTACAATAAAGATGTGCGGCTGTGGCGCAGAGGCAGAGCGGGTCGTTCCCTAATTGGAAGGTTGTTGGTTTGATCCCCGGCTCCTGGCCTCCCCTGTCGAAGTATCCTTGAGCAAGATACTGAACCCCGGATTGCTGTGAATGTGTTTATGAATGCATTAGTTTCCGTTCGATGGGCTTTGCCATTGCTGTGTGAATGTGTGTGAAAGGATGAATGTCGCACGTAGTGTAAAAGCGCTTTGACTGGTCAGAAGACTAGAAAGGCGCTATACAAGTGCAGGTCCATTTACCATAGATGTAAAATCTGATGCTTGGTATCACACACAACTGTTTTTGAACCAACATACCCTGTTTTGTTGGAAAGCTGCCAAACTCTACAATTTCAATCAATGTCAAGGAAGCCATTTGAAGGTAGGAGTCGATCTTGTTTTTCCATAATGTGGCCGGCACTGTAGGTGGATATGTGAGTTAACCTTCAATCAATACAGTAAAAACAACAAATACAGTGCATTGTGGGCAATTAGGACAACGCAGGTGCTATAAAACCATAAATGTCTGTGTTGTTACACAATGTTCAACACCTTTTTGAACTTTGTGTTTTTTAAGGCCGTATTTTTCTCTATTTGAACCCACTGACTGAAGGTCTAAATTTAACATCGACAAGGGAGAAAAGTATAGAAAAGGACATGGATTTTGAATCTGTGAGCCACTCAGACTCTCTAAGAGACCCCAAGGTGTTGATGATACTGTGAGCATATGTGAGTAAAGAGACAGGCGATGGCAAAGATGAGCTCCATAATGTGATTTCCCTGCTGAGTGGAAGAGACAATACTGTGCTGCAGAGTTCATTAGACACTGCTGGGCTCCTGGAGCTGGCTAATGAGAATCTGGCATGAAGTCCCTGACCCGCACCCTCGACTTGTACACACACACACACACGCACACACAGATGCAAAGCGGCTTGCGCACACATGCATACATAGGGCAAATGGAACCTTTCAGGCTAGAAACAGGGACCTGCAGTGTCTGATATTGAAATGTGAACATGTTCCTAAAATCACTTAGACACTTACACAGTGAGCAAAAGCATGGTGTAAAAGAAAGGCCCCAGCGCAGATAACAGGAGTCTAATCCTTCATTATCTTTGTGGTGTTTTTGTTCCAAACCTGACAAAGATTTCATTATCTTCTTCCCTGGAGCACACAGGAACCATCGCTGGGGATTTGTACCATGTGAATGTCCTGCAGTTCTTTGGCCAACATGGATTTTTATTCTCCTCGTACCATGTTTAGTAGACAGTAGTTGGTGGAGTCTTGTTTTCTCCAAGAGTGGTAAATGACGGCCGTGTGAATTAGTGTTTTTTCTCTGTCTTGGCCTTCAGTGAAAAGCACTGTGGTGTGTTTAAAAAATGATCAAGACAGAGAGAGAGAGAGAGAGAGAGAGAAAGAGAGAGAGAGAGAGAGAGAGAAAGAAACTCAAAGAATATTGAACACCCCCTCAGGATAAAGTTAAGGGTACTTTAGTTGTTGAGGGAGGAGAACGAGCCAAAAAAAAAAAATCTTCTTTACGCATGCGACAAGTGTTACGTGGCTTCACGGAATAAGAAATCCCAAAGTTTCTTGGAGCTTTGAGCCAGAGCTGTGATTGTGTGAGGACATATAAAGGTAGAAATAGACACATGCATACACACTCACAAAGAGCACCAACAGCATGTGGTAGTGTGTGCTATTACAAGTAAATTAGACAGTGGGATAAAGATGAAAAAGGTCAGCCATGTCACATCTTCATACTGTAAATTAGCTCTCTTGCTCTGACTCCCAGCAGTAGTAAAAGAGCCAGAGGAAGCCTTAACAACCTGTTTAGCGAATACACCCAGTGAGCAGCTTTTATGAAAAATGGATGGGATGCAGTCTCAGAAGAGTCAAGAGTTTTCTGTATTACCTAAACTATGAAAAATCATCATATTTTAAAGAAGAACTCTTTTTTGCACTGTACACATAATGTTAGTACAGGTAATTGTTTTGACAGTACACATATGGTGTGTAAAAACTGCTTTTTCTGCTTAAAAGTTGAACTCAGCTGAATTCTCTGGCCCCTTCCCGCGTGACATAACAGACGTAATGAGTCCTACCCTGTCCCTAACCCTGTATCCCAGCTTCAAAGGTACCCACGCAGTGACAATTTCAACACACAGTCACATATTCTAGGCACTTCTCTATCTATCATATACTGGAGGGTGTAGTTACTCTTTGAAGACTAAACAAAAAAAATCTGTAGTGATTTTACAACCTTTACATTGCTTATACAGCAGGTCTTAAACTCAGTTCAGTTCAGAAATTGGAAGTGATGATAACAGGTTCTAAAACTTGTGTATCTGGGTATTGAAGTACATAACTGCAGTAAGGTGAGATGTCAAACCACTGGAGGACAGCAAAAACAAAACTTTCAGGGTGGTTAAATCCCCCTTTAATCAGGAAGCTTCAGAGACAGGCACACTAAGGAGAGGTAAGTGGTCAGGCAGTGTGGTTCTTTTTTCTCCCCTCTTTTTTTGACAGTGTGTAAAGTTTTGCTTACATAACTTATTTACAGACAGGTCTCTTTTCTCGTCAAAGTGTATTTCTGACGGTGCTCTTGGTACTCCACTCAGGTGGCATAAGTCAATAATAATTTAAACTGTTCATCTGTATGTTTATACTGTAGCAAGAAAGTAATCCTACCTTGTGCCTGGTAAACAAGGGTTAGATTTAGGGTTAGGGTTAGAGTGTTTTCACACTAGGTCTAGCTACTTGAGTCCATACCCAGATTGGTTTTCTCAATTGTTTTGGAGGGGGAGTCATTAGTGTGGGTTTGTTCTATGATATAAATTGATCAACAAAAGGATTATATGTATAAAATGACAAAGGACAAAGTCAGTGTGGCACGTAGAACAATCCTCTTGTTCAAGTAACAGCATATGAAATTAAAAGCGGTTTTCTATACTGCACCCAAGCTTTCACATTTCACCAAGGGTACTGAATTCTCAGGGGAAACAGCCTCTGGACCAGGAAAGACCCCTCCAATTAGCCCAAGTGTAAAATCACCCTAAAGGTATTATCCCACCAAATGTAGGGCAAAGCATTTAAATGTTCAGTAGAATGAACATGTGCAACCAAAGGCACATCAATAATTTAGTTCTGTGACCTTGCATGGTTGTAAAAATGATAGAGACATTCTTCATCTAATCAAGACCTTCATAGAAAGCACCAGCTGCAATAACATGACAGATACTACAGCTTGCACAACAAATACCAGAGTAGATAGAAATACCTGTCAAATGTGACCCAAGCCTGACCGGTATGCTAGAGCAAAATGTCAGAAAATATTATTTAAAAGTCTTAAAGGTTTGAGAGTGTTCAGTTTCACGCAGAGGCACCTGGAGCCGAATCAACACCCGCCACTTCTTCACAATATGGTTATGGATGTGACGGTTTATCTCCACAAGGAATTTACTGCTTTAAATGTTTCTATTTTTAGAACAAAATCAGTGAACCTGACAGTATGAAGTACATTTTAACTTCAAAATAAACTAAAGTGAGATGCTCATTATATTAATTATGTCTGGTGTACTTGATAGGAACAGCAGCCTGTCTGTACAATCAGTGGTTGTCAAACTTGGAAAAGTGCCTTTTGTGTTTAGTATGAAAGAGTTTTATGATGGAAAGATCTTTACGCACATTTGTGCTATAAGTACATACACTTATGCACAAATATTTTCTCACAAACACAACATGCACACAACAGAGTCCCCCGCTGTCCCTCAGCTGCATTTGAATGAAAGCCCACACAGCCATCTGCTTTGAGCTGGGAAACTCATCAGCAGGAGATGAGGGTCATCTGACTGTATAAATAAATATGAATTCCATTACATTATGATCCATTATATATCCACAGTGGACTGTAAAAATAATGACAGTTCACTTCGCTGTGGGCGAAGTAATGATGTCAAACATGGGGGCTGACATTAAAAACAACTACAGTATTTGTTATGGGAACATGTGCATAAGCAGAAATATATTTTGACTGTAATTACACACACAGAAAAAGAAGTGTTGCAATTATTAATTAAAGCATTTATATATATATATATATATATATATATATATACATATATGTATGTATATGTGTATGTATATATCATCATCGCAGAGTTTTGGAACAACCTCCCTGACACGGTCCGACCAGAAACTTTGCTAATAACTTTTGAATCTCAAGTTAAAAGTTGCGCCTATACTTAATCATAGAGGTGGAAGAGTGTTCCAGTGTTGGTGTCTTTTTAATAGTTTTTGTACAACAATGGAGTTCTATGGCACAGCCAAATAAGGTTTTGGATCCAAACCATCCATACCAAATGTTTCGTTATAGTTCTGACATCACTTCAGAATGCACAGATTTCAGCTTTAATAGTGTGTTTATTATAGTCTAAACTTAATATTTGGTTAATTTCTTCATTAGCTACCATTAAAAGTTTTCTCTTTTTTTTCTCCTTTTATTTTAGCTACAACACAAAAGAACTAATGGACAGCCAGACAGATGATCAGTAGAGTGAGTGGACGACGGTAAAACTGCATGGACTGCATAAACCAAACAAGGCTAAGAAAGAACTGGCTTAATGCCTCCCAAGTGGGCTGTTTGGTCCCTAAAGTGTCAACATATTGATCATTACATTGTGAGGGTTTTTTCTTTGTTGGCTGAAGAATCCAATTAGAGAATATTTCCCTGGCATTTTCAGACAACTGATGGCTGAACAGCTTTAATGAAATGTTAAAGCCAACTACCGCGTGCTCACAAATGCCTTAACTAGAGCCTCACCCTTCTCATCCAACACACACACACGCAGAATTACAACAAACACACAGTGAGCACAGCGAGAACTTAATTGGACATAAGTCATTTCTTTTGTGTGTGTGTGTGTGTTTTTACACTTACCTCTCTCCACTGTTTGGTTTCAACACCTTGCGTATACAGCACGCATACTGTGAAAAAAGAACCAGATAGGGACAGAAAGAGATGAAATGTCGTGAAAAAAAGAGAGGCAAAAAGGGAGATACGATCAGAGAAGAGCAGGCAGATTCCAAATGGGAAATCAATGTGAGGGTTTTAGCTTCAGTACAGTGAACAAACAGTCGTGGCAAAACAAAGATTTCCCAAATCACAGGGCAACATATCCACAAAGACAGACAAAAAACACAAACCAGTAGAGAGGGAGAAAAGACAAAAATGGGGCAGAAACTGAAAGCTGTATTTTTATTTTTAAGACCAGTGTGTAACATGAAACGAAATATAATATTCATATGTATGTTTTCATTAGTGTATAATCGCCTGAAATAAAGAATTGCTGTGTATTTGTTACCTTTTAATGAGCCATTTTTATCTACAGAGGGAGTCGGTCCTTCTCCACAGAGGCTTCCATGTAGAACAACCACATTTCTACAGTAGCCCAGAAAGTATAAACCAAAACACTGGCTCTAGATAGGCCCTTTCACGCTTTTTGCAAGTTTTCTGGCCATTGGAAAGCAACTGTAATTTTGTTCCTAGATGCCACTAAATCCTACACACTGGTCCTTTAAAGAATGGAGAACTGGCACAGAGATGACAGAAGAATGCAGACAAACGGTCAGTCTCTGCAACATACTCACATGGATCTGACTTGGAAAATGTGTCTTTATCCAGCAGATTTCTGGGAAATGAAGACAGAGAAGAGAAACATTTGTTACTTAATAACAAAGAACCTCCTGTAGACGCTTAAGAGATAATTGTGTCCCTTTCAGCGATTTTTCACCACCACACTTGACTACCAAGGTTACCCTTAACACCTTGCAAATAGCTAAAGAAAATAGAAAAAAAACACAAGAGGAAGAAAAACAATAGCCCTTCACAATCTCAAGCAATGAGGGATTCTAAAAGTAGTTCAAGGTTCTGTCACACAAGTAATTTAACCTGTATGTTAAAGGCCCTGCACACGCACACCATGTTTTCAATCATTCTGGCTAATTAGACCTCTGTGAAGGTTGGATGTGGGCGGAGCTAAATTAGTAATTATACAACAAGTCCTTCAGATTAAAAGACAAAATAGGTTGTTGTCTCTACAATGACACACGGAAGAGTTCTCTTATCTGACACCCTATCGATAGGACATCATCATTTGTCAGTGCCAGAGAAAAATTACAAATCACTGTTCTTATTAAAATCTGTTTTATTATTTATAATAACACAGTGGTTAGGATTTGGTTAAGTTTTGGCAAAAAGATGACTTGGTTAGGTTTGTGGAAAGATCATAGTTTGGTTTAAAATTACTACTTTGTTAAGGTTAGGGCAGCTTTATAGTCTTAATAACAAACAAGATAAGACAAGGTTGAGGTTAGGAAATTACTGTGGTCATGTTTTAAAAACAATGTTGTCTGTGAAACAGGAAATGAGCAGCTCTCTCCTGTGTTAAAGTCAGGCGCTTTGTTGACCCATCCAACCACCTCTACTTCTTTCCTGAGCAAAATTTGGTACTCCAACTCACTTCCTCCTCTGCAATTGTTGTAATAACTATGCCTGCATAAACATATTATATGTCTTTTTGGGGTGCTTGCTGAAACGACCGATGCTGTTCTTACTGGGAGGACAGCTGTCCCACCAAGCAGGTCTAGTAGCTAACAGAGGAGTCAGAGAAGAGTCAAACAAGCACAGTCTGTACAGGTCTATTCAGCCAAGATTATTAAAATCACCTGTATGGGTTTACCAGGACTGTGCAGGCCATTTCTATGAAAGTCCACCAAAGTAACTGTACGTATACTTTTTTATTCTGGCTAGAGACTCCTCTGCACAGATGCATGTTGGCTGAATTCCATATGCAGGATATGCATATGAACCGATACACCTAGACAACAATGCAACTACTGTCAGAACTATCCTCCTGTTTAAGTACACTAACCATTCATATTGTCCAGTTAAGGAATAAGGGCTAACTAAAATACAGTTGTACTGCATGATGATTACCCTACAGTGTCTATGCACTTTCAAAGTAAGTTCAAATCAATATACCCATCGATTCTAGTTTTAATCAATTATTCTATGTGTAGTTTTACTGCGTGGCTGGAGATAAAAGCATAGATCAAGTTCTGTATGTCTATGAGATAAGAGAGCACTTAAACATGAAACCATAGCCATGAAGTGTCTGGGTGCACAAGCTTTTTTCACATTTACAATCTCTCATGTGCAAGTCTGAAAACACATACTCATTTATACATTCAGAGACTAGGGGCATATTGGCACAGGAACTTTTTGGGTTTCGGAATCTCATACAATAGCTGCCTGATTACCAGCATGTCTGTGTGTTTACTGAATGCACAACAATTTCTCTACCCTCCAAACACCCACCACACCTCCCTCTTTGTGATGGCGTTCAATATGTTAGGTAAAGTAAAAAATAGTTGCAGGGTAACAAACTTTTGTATAAGATTAGACTATTTATTGAACTTCATCATCATCTGGATTTTAGAGGCAACGTTGTTTAAAAATATGCCAGTTAGCCTAAATTGTAATTACTACAATTTATTCCCACATCAATGGTATTTATTAGCAGCTGGTAACTATGGCAAATAATGTCAGGAGACATAATTTCAATAGGAAACTTATAACAGATCCCATTTTAAAAGAATCCTCTGAACAGGAATTTTGATTAGCGCCCGTAGCATTCATTTACAGCAACAGTTGGAGACAGAAAATTATAGGTTTGTGTAATGCAAAGAGAAAAACCAAAAAGGTCATTGTCAACAGTCTCTTTAGAACAGCGTCTTTCTCAGCCCATCTGTCCCACTCCTGCATCCAGTCACTGTCGCTTAATCTGAGAAGTGCAGTCTTCCAAATTTTTTTACTTTCTCTAAATGCTAATATGCTTCATGCATGATAGGAGTGAATGACAAGACAATTAGCTTAACTATAATAAAACATATTGTTGATCATAAGGTCACATGCTTATCATCTCTTTAAGGTATTGTGTATAGAGTGCACTTTTGTAAATTAATTTCACATACGATTTATTTAACTTAAGTTATGTTTGAAACTATGCACATGGATCTACACTAGCATGTGAACTTTCAGTACATTATTTAATGCAGAAATAATTACTATTGACTCAATACAACAACAACAATACAAATGAGATGAGAAATGAATGCATTGTTTGAAGGATCACAGCTTTCCCCCTTCGTATTAGCTTTAGATGTTTTGATCTTTAATGTAGAGATTATTAGTGTCAAAACATAGAATACCTCTCTCATTATATTGTGTTTGTTTTATGCTCCTGACATGCACATAGGTACATCATAGTAAATCTCTCAGAGACTCTCAGAGGTGTATAGGAGTCTTTTATCTGAGAAAACACTCAAAATGTAATCATATTTGACTGGCAGTGTGGTATTCACATGTCTTGAAGTGTGTGTGGAACATTTCAGATTTCAAGAACATCATGTAGGTGTCTTTTTCTTATTCATGAAAACCCATCTCTCAACTGAAGTTGGATCAACCAATCAGATTTCTTGATGCATCTGCACAAAGCGTTCCTGTGCAACCTACTATAACTCTTTGAAGAACCATTACTCCAGTTTTACTGGTTTGTTTGATAATTATACATGTGTCACATGTAAGTGAAATATTACATGTTAGATTGAGTTCGACTTTCTGACTCTAATGACATGGCTTTAACTAGGCTTTCAAATGATGTGTTACTCCAATTGTTTAGTGAGCAGCTCAAAAAATGGAGACAGAAATTCAAGGCCCAATCTAACCAACCCAAACCCATTAAGGCAATGCCTACTAGCCAATCGGAGGAAGAGTAGGTCGGGTCATGGGTTCTGCCACTGCCAAGTACTGTTTTAGTGGCGAAAAAGAGTTGATAGTAAGAGCTAGCTAAATGTCAGCAATTTGACTGTCAAACTAGATAATAAAACAAGCACTGTACCTTTGAACATGGTTCATTTTGTACCCTCTTTTCTGTACCCTTAGTGACAAAAATGTACCTCTATGTCCTGGTACAAAAATTTACCTATTGGAAAGGTACAGACAGACTCTTTTGCAGGAACACACTGATCACATTCGCACTGTTACACTGTTCATACCTGGAAGCTGCCCAGTACCACCACAGTGGTTTGTGTTACGGGCCTTTCTCAAGGAAACCTCAGTGGTGGTAATGAGGGATGGGCAAGTGCTGCTTCTTAACTTTCCCCACCCAGGTTTATCCTGCCAGTTCCAGGGATTAAACTGACGACCTTCTGTCACAAGCTGCTCACACTCCCAATTTATTTAAAGAAATAACGGTACAAGTAGTTTACAACCTTTAACACTTTTCAGCACTTATTCATTGTATTGTTCAGCTAGAACTGATTTGTCCATAACAATAAATGCTGTAATGGCCTAAATCAAGTTTTAAACTCTGTAAGCTTATGCAGTGCCGACTATAAGTGCACTTGCCACAGGCACATGCCACAGCAGACTGCAAGGGGAAAAACGGGTTGCACTACCCAAGTCTACAGGGAGGGCCACGGCATAAAAATAATGTAATAAATTAAGAAAAAAGGAGGAGGAATGTAAAGAATGAGAAAATAGACCGACAATAAAAGAGTGATAATACTTAATAAAAATGATATAATGGTAATGACTAGTGGAAGCATTTCACTCTGCTACACTGACAATCAGCTACTTGATAAATGAACAAAATCACTCAAATAGATCCATTCTGAGCTTGCCAATACACACTGAAGAACACTGTCTTGCCCAAAACGTCTGTGTAGCAAAATTAAAAAAGTTGAATGGAAGTGCTGTCCTACTTCTTTGCTCATGAAATTATTCCCAGGCCATTCAGACCAACAATTGAATGGAAATTTACTAGTAGCCTATTTTATTTAAATAATACGGAAGCGTATTGCATTCAAAAAAATTTGTGATCACTGATTTGCTGTAACATTTTCCTTTACCTTAAGTTTGTTAGTACAGTACAATTATTTACACTTTTTTGTCAGCCATGATTTTATGTCTTTAAAATTAAACAAATGTCCACAGTTATCACCCTAAGGACCTTTTTCGTATAGCTTACAGGGTACTTTTCTGACAAATGTACCTTTGGGTACAGAAATGATCTCTGTGTGTTCTATGGCATTAATTTTCTATAGGCCTATATTTGTTCATGTTTTACAAAGGGTTTAACCTGAGCCAGACCATTCAACAATGATAGTAATCATACAGGGTTAGTAGTAAACAGCTGTTAAAAAATAACAATATAAATTCTTTAACACTTCTTTATCGCAAAGTTCAGGAATCAGAATTGGTATCAGGAATGAAACAATGGTATTGAAACATCTTTACTAGTCCGACAAATAAGTCTGTTCATACCAGAGCCAGTGCACGGGAAACAACCATGCATACAGTATATTACAAGAACTGTATTCAGTGCTCCAAGACAGCATCCAATTCATCAATTGAAAATTGTTCACCCAATGCAAAGGCTTTCCGATTCTTGGCCCACCTGACATGTGTGTTACATTCTTTGGCTCCATCTTGCCTTCATCATTCTGTCTTTCATGGTCTATTCCTGAGCCTTATTTTAATGCATTTTCTATGAATCTATCTATGTCTCTCTGACTTAATCTCTCAACCTCCGCCTGTGTTTCCAGTGTCCGTGCTACACCTCCATCA